ATGATGCGATTTCAATTTTTCCTTTCTCTTTGGAGTGTTACAAGCTCTTGGTGCATAAAGAAGATCTGTAAAGTTGCAAAGACTAAAGTCTCAAATCTAAAGAGATATTCTTTATAAAAGTTAAGAGTCAGCCACACCTACCTAAAACGGCTCGTTCTAACACGCCCCCACATATCTACCTCACTATGTGGGAAGATTTGCATAACGCCGCCCAAATGTTCACCAAAGAAAGAAGGCGTAACTTTTATTCTCGCTGTAGTATTGTTGCTGCCGCCGCCATGTCGTGAAGACGCTGTGTTTTTCGTTGTGAAAGCGAAACTACTTTGTTTGGCCTTCCAAAAGAGGACGATATCCGCTTCGTCATGCCTAGAGCTGATCTGTGCTGGTCGCTGAGGAAATGCATCAACTTTCACCGTGGACGAAGCGGAACCCAGCCCGGGCACATTTCATTACACCAAATACACAAAATAATGTTCTTTTTAGCAACATCATATGACCCCTGCCTATAATTACTGCTGCTTGCTTTATTGTTGTGCCTTTGCTTAATACACTTTGACTTGAAATGTACTGCAAACTATTTGTGATAAATACACGTTTTGTTATGTTGATTATGAAGATATAAAACACCAGTTTTATCTTGTCTTTTTGGTTGAATTAAAATTTGGCTCAAATTCAAACTGGTTGAATTCATGAAAGTAAAATGCCATGAAACATTTAGAAATGCATTATTTTGACTTTGTGATTTTATTATGATTATATTTTAAGAATCTATACATGAATCCGGTGATACCAGCTGTGCTGATATCAGTACTGCAGATTGATTGTGTTATTATTAAATATCAAAAATCTTTATATTAAACAGATCAGAGGACTTCAGCGTTGATATTTTAGCATTCGCATATTTGATAATCTCTCAGTATTGTCTATTTGCGCCTTGTACTTGTTTTTTATTTTATTTTTATTTTTATACTTTATACTATATATATTTTATACTATAAAAAAGACAAAAGTTTGCTTTTCACATTTTTCTGATAGAGAGCCGTTTGTGTTCGATTGTGCCAAAGCTGAGAAAAAAACAAAGGAAGCTGATGGTGATGATAAAAGGTAACTTGAATATTTTTGTATGTTTCTTTTCTCTTTATGAGTTCTTTATCTGAGGGTTACGTCACAAGATGTAGAGGAAATATCTTGACATGTACAGTATATTTGTGTATTGCAGTGCTGGGGAAGGATCAGAGGAGAAGGAGAGTGGCAGTGACAGGATTCTTGCATTTGCTGTGTCAGTGTCTGGGAAGCTTGCAGCGCTCACTGATGACCACAAACGTCTTGTTCTCTTCTGTACTGAGCCATCGTGGCACTGCATTAGTACACGGTGACAACACAATCTCATTCCTAAACATGAAATGTACTCACCATCACTCGTATCAGTCCAATATCACTTTCTCTCACATGGGGAACACACATATGTTTGAAGAATATGCTGAACAATTTAGGACTGACACATTTCTCTTTATTGAAAAATATCGCTAGTATACTAGTTTTCAAAATCATTTGAAACGGGTTTGGAACAACATAAGGATGAGTAAATGATGACATATTTTTTTTCTTTTTGGGTGATCTGTTCCTTCAGTGCTAATTTCTCTGTAAGGCTCAGTGTAAGTCTATGATTGTCTTCTTGTAGGTGGGTTGTGCGGCGGTGCACGTCTCTTCTATTTACTCAGGCTGAGGATGAAGTCTTTGTGGCTGATAAGTCTGGGGATGTTTATTCATTCTCTGTTCTGGAGCCACACAAACCAGCTGAAGCTGGGACATCTCTCCATGTTATTAGATGTGGTATGAGGAACATCAGCAGAACAGTGTTTTTCATTGGCAGTTTTCATTGTGAGAGTTAGTGCTGAAACCAAACAAAAAGATGTAAAAGTTTAATATTTGATACTTTTGTATTTTCCTCTACAGACACTTTCTCCTGATGATAAATATATCATAACAGCAGACCGAGATGAGAAGATCCGAGTGAGTTTCCGGCGGTCACCCTACAGCATTCAGGCTTTCTGTCTAGGGCACAGAGAGTAAGTGTGGACTGTGACAACCTCATATGTTGTTCCCACTTGTTCAAACATGTTTGTTTTCTCATGCAGATTTGTCAGTGCATTGCTTGTGCCTGCGGGACATCCTGACTGGCTTCTTTCTGGTTCAGGAGTATGTGTTTTTCCAGGTTACCTGTATTGTTTTACTGTAATATTCTATTGGGATAGTGATTATAAGGGTTATGTAAGTTTCTTAATGCGGTAGGACTGACATGGTTGTGTTCACAGGATGAAACAATGAAGGTCTGGCATTATGAGACTGGCCGGCGGTTACACAGCATTGACCTGAGCCAATTCACCTTTGAATCTGAAAACACAGACACAGAAAAGGTGCCGTCCATTTGTTATCAATGAGCCATTCACGCACATAATACATATAATGTGTACTACAATCCCACAAAATTACATTATATATTAACCTAGATATAAGGTTTTCAACTGAAGGTCTGTGGACCCCTGGGGTCTAGAGCTTTAACTTGTTTTTTAATTATTAAAACATATAATTTAGATAATTTATACTTTATGTATCATATAATATATTATGTAATTTATTGTTGCCTTTATTTTTCATATGCAAAATTCACAATATTGTAGTGGCGATATTATTTGCAGGCGCTCAATCAGGGCTAGAAAGTGAGGTGGTGAATTCCCCAGGTAAAAGAAAAAAAGTCAAGAGAAGACTGCTTTTAGGTACTTTTAAAATGTTATTTATAAATATAGATTTGTACACAGTGAGTGTTTGACAAATCACAGCAATATGTACAATAAATCCACTTTAAGAGAAAAAAAAACATGAAGAATTGCATATTTTTTTGAGGGATGCAAACTATGAAGACATTTTCACTTGATGAAAATGCATAGAAAGTCCTAATGTTTTAATTAGTAATTTACAAACATCACTGCATGGTATATTCATTTATATATGAAAATATATAAATCAAAGTATCATGATATTTTAATTACAAGAATATACATTAACGATGTAAAACGTAATGTTAGTTAATGATAATATTGAATGTTTTTATTAGTTTCATTAAATTTCAAGTTTTGACAGCTCAAGCTCAGCAAGTTTAGAACCGCTGCTATAGTGATTATTTCCATTCAGATCCAGGTGTGTATATTTTGTAATTGACCCCGATCTCTTTTAAAGAGACACTGTGACTATATTTCTTTCGGTCTTCAGAGGTTTGCTGTCAGCAGGATCATCAGCTCACCGGATGGACATGTAGCTGTCCAGTGTGAGAGGTGTGTTTCATTTCTTCAGATTTCTGGTTATGTTCTCAGACATAACTGGACTCTGGGAGACTCTCAGTGACAACAAGTGTTCTTTTGTTAAAATGGAAACACACAAGTCTTAAGAAAGTGTCTTTTACACACAAATCATACATTTAAATGGTTAAAATCATATCCATCTGTGTAGATTCCCCTCAGTTCAGCTCTTCACGGTGGATTCTGGGACAGGGGGGTGTCTGAGCCCTGCTGAGACTCTTGCTCTTCCTCATGCTCCCTGGGACATGACATTTGATTCACAGAGCCGGTTGTGGGTCTTACTGGAGAGTGAAGACGTGAATGTTCTCCTGTATTGATACTCAGAGCAGCACTGGAAGGTACATACATGCTGTCATGTGGCTTTCTTTCCATGTTTTGAAGTCAACTCTGCTCCTGCTAACTCATCTTGCTTGTTTATAGCTGTGTGGCTCAGAGACTCCTGAACTGAGGAGGGTCACTGAAGCATTACAAGCTCAGTGGGATGTCTTTAAAGGTAAGAAATCCGACAAATATTATAATGAAACGGAAAAATGTCATATCATGATGAAGCAAATTTACCCTTGATGTTTTGAGATCTTGAGTTGAGCACATAATTTACTCATAGACACCAATTCAGTTTTTATAAACACAAACTGTCCTGTCAAAATAATATGAAGGAAGATTAGAGAGAGAAAACACCAGGACTAATGAAAAGGGTTAAATATGTACAAGTTGATCAAAGTGTATCTCAGGGGGAAAAATGTATAAAATGACCCTTTAAACCTGTAAGGCCTGATATATTAAATAAACATCCATTCAGGTATCAAATATGATACAGTAGGCTTTATAGGGTTAATGTATCCCTAAAGCTCAGATTTTCTATTCTGAACACTTCATGCTTCATGCTTTGCTCTTGTCCTCTGTTCACAGGTTCTGTGGGACTGGAGAGTCAGTTTAAGCACTTGTATAAGGTGAACTTTGACAACATGGCATCATATTTGCAGAAGAAACAGGAAAGACTAGAACAGGAGAGGAAGAAGAGAGCCGCAGTAAACGGCTCTAAACCCAGTAAGAGAAATAAGACGGAGAGCGGCCCTGTGCCTCAAAGCACCAGCTGAGAGAACGTTCTTATTTTAATTTCTGCTTTTTTGTCATGTTTGTATAATTATACAGTTCTTTTTGTTAATTGACAATGATTATATGACTTTTTATTCATTCAGTAAAGCCTTTCAGTTTTAAACTACTTGGTCTCTTGGTTTTCTGAACGGAAAGATCTGCTTTGGCCAGCAGAGGCCGCTATACTTTCAGCCCGCTTAGATACAGTCAAGGCTATCACACACATCCTGATACAATTTCATGAGACTTCAGGAACGAATGTAAATATTGTATGATAAGAGTGCTCTAAAAAAATGAGATATGTGGCTTCAGTTGTTCTTTAAGTTAGACTTTTATTTTTATTTTTTTTTTAGTAGAAGTGACAAAAAATCTGTACATCCTGTATACTGTTTATACTTTTACAAAACCCAGAAATCATTCTAATATGCTGATTTGCTGATCAAGAAACATGTCTTAATATTAGCAATGTTAAAGGGGTCATATGATGCTGCTAAAAATAATATTATTTTAACACAAATGGTTCATAGCTGAGCTGTACATGGTTCAATTCCCTGAAAGATGCTTTGGATTTTCTGAGCAGATGGCCAAGATTTCACTCATTTCCCACTTTTTACTGCCTCTGATGAGATTCCAGCTGAAACAAATAAGCAAAAACTGGGTTACAAATAATAACTAAAATGCATGCAGTACAATGTTTTAACACTGACCTTCCTCATTTCTTTTTTCCTCCCATTGTTAAATTTTCACTCTTCTTTTTCTGCACCTATGAAAAGAAACTGGGATAATAAGAAAAAAATAGCTAATGCTAGTTTAAAAAGCAAAACAAAAAAAAACATTAATGGTAACCTCATTCATGGCGTCATCTATCTGCTTAAGCTCCTCGTATCTGTCCCGGGATTCTCGTAAGGGCTGTACCATTACCTCCTCAATCTGAGGAAACAACTGCAACACACAGAGAACAAGCAATATCACAACTTGATATCCACAGCAGGTTTCGTATTGTACTTTCAGGTCCAAGCCTAACCAATTCACCTTCATCACAGTCTCAAACATGGGGATCAGGACGAACTTGATGAAGCCGATCTGAGCAGTGGGCTTGGTCACTTTTTCTCTGTCCATGAAAGGAGCGATAGGTAAACCCTCTGCCTTTTCTCGATCACTCTTTTGAGAGAGAACACAATTCTGATGAAGGAGGAAGCGCACTATAAAGATGCAAAATGTTGGGATTGGTATGAAAATTCTTAACTTTTAAATTAACTTTTCTATTTTAATATATTTTAAAATGTAATTTATTCCTGTGATAAATGTAGGGACAGGTTTCGCTGTATGGTCAGATTTAAGAGTTAATAAGTTGGGTTTGGTATATATTTCAACCCAAAAATGAAAATTTACTCCAAGATGTAGATGAGTTTCTTCATCAGAACAGATTTGGAGAAATGTAGCATTACATCGCTCACCAGTGGATCCTCTGCAGTGAATGGGTGCCGTCAGAATGAAACGGCTGATAAAAACAACATCATAATCCACAAGTAATCCACACGACTCAAGTCCATCAATTAATGTCTTGTGAAGTGAAAACCTGTGTGTTTGTAAGAAATAAATCCATCATTAAGGCGTTTCAATGTTAAACCATTGCTTTCGACCAAAATATGGATCCATAATCCATAATCGCTTCCTCCAGTGAAAAAGTCTGTTGTCCTGTTGTCCTCTCACATCAAAATCCACAGACATATTTATTTAGAGAGGTTTTGGACTGTTTTCACTTGTAAACTGTGTCTGATCTGTGCATATTTCTCTCCTGATTCAGACCAGATGACTTTTTTACTGGAGAAAGCAATATTATTGATAGAGGACTTGTATTTTAGCCCAAAACAACAGTTCAAAATGTCTTGATGGATTTGTTTATTACTAACACACAGTTTTTAATTCACAAGACATTAACTGATGGACTGGAGTGGTGTGGATTATTGTGATGTTTTTAGCAGCTGTTTGGACTCTCATTCTGACGGCACCCATTCACTGCAGAGGATCCAT